CACGCGCGCGCGCGCGACGACGACGACGACGACGACGACGACGACGACGACCGGCCGGCCAGCCGGCCGACCGGCCGGGACCGGGGCCGACGGCGCAAATGGCGTCCATCGACGCCTCTGGCTTCGGCCCTGCGTCCCCGGGGTAAGACCAGGCGTCCCCGGCGTCGTAGCGACCGTAATTGTACTTTTCCCGATTAACGACCGGTCTGCCTCGCTTATTGGGAAGTTGACTCGGTATATAGGCGTTGAAGAGCAAGTCATCGCTCACGGAATCATCGTTGGCGAGGTCAAAAACGCGCTCGGACTGAGCGCGCCGCAGATGCCCGAGGAGCATGCAGCCGACGGCTTCGAGAACGACGACGCGGCGCGCGCGGACGCCGCCCGCGCCGACTCGTCGGCCGCGATTCGCGGGTTCGGGTGCGGGCTCGAGACGGTGCCGAGCGGCGCCCGAGCCGAAACGCGCGCGTCGAGGATCCGTCCGCGCGCGCGCAGGTCCCGCTCATCTTCACGCACGTCGGGAAAACGGGCGGCCGCACGATTCGTAAGAACATCGCGCTCGGCGGCAACAAGCGGAAAAAAAACAACCTCTTCTCCTGGAAGAAAGATAGCTCGTTCTACCCGCTCGCGTCGGGCGAGCACGCGGAGTTCTGCTCGAGCTGCGAGCCGAGCTTCTGCGCCCGCGGGCGCGGGAGTTGCGGCGATGGCATGGCCCACTCTGGCATGAGATCGTGCAACGCGAGGGGCCGCGTCGATCCGCCGCGCGCGGACTCTGTCCGGGTCGAATCCGACGCGCCGTCGCGTGGAGAGCGTCGCGACCCCTCGCAGGCGTCGACGCCGCTGGGCCAGGCGATCGCCTGCGCGAACGCGCGGCCCGACGGCCCGTGCGCCGCGAGCGGCTCGCGGTGCCTCCGAGTCTACACGGGCCACAACTACCTCGGCACGGAGCTGCACTGGCTGCCTCCCAAGATGCTCGCGAGCTGGTGGCGCGCGTGGGCGCCGGAGTGGGCGCCCGCGCGGCCGCGGGCGCGCGCCGAGCTCGGCAGGCTCATCGACGAACTCGGCGAAGGTCGATGCCGCGCGGTCGGCATGAAGGGGGACG